CTTGAGGTCTCAGTAGTCCTCATTGTCCGCTATGTTCAGCGAGACCGGTTTTATCCCAGGCTTTTTCAGACCCAGGCCAGCTGGCCTTGGTGAGTGTGGCTTCCACGAACACGAGCGGGGTAGTTATTTACTAGACAGTGACCACACCAAGGTGCTTAGTTTCCCCACACACACACTGCAAGGGATTCTGTTTTTACATGGACTCTCTTGTACAGGTTGTGTTAAGGTTGGCAGATAAAGAGAGATCATAAGAAATAAATCCATAAGCTACACCAGCCTGTACAGCAAACAGTCCCATACTTTTAGCTCCATAACTGCTTACAGCACACCACAGAACGTCTGGGTTGTCATTGACTCTATGAAATGAACGTCCCATCTCTTCAAGGCAACGTACAAGTTTCCTTATGCTGGTTCTGCCAGTGCCTTTGTGAAATTCCAAACATTTGCCTGAAGAGAGATACACCAGAGCTGCCACCTTGTGGCTCTGGGTATTATACCATTCGTCCTCAGAAATCAAATGCTTTTTTATTGCTTTTTAAAAATTCCAACAGTATGTAGATATGGCTTTTCTTCCCAGAGCTTTTGTTTGAATTATTCCAAATTCCCTAGTGCTTTCCCCAGCTAGGAACAGCTTGAAATCAAGCCAGAATTCAGAGTACCTATCTCATACAGTACTTAAATTACAAATGTACGTGTTCATGTCCACTAGAAAACTAGAATAACCGTAAGTTTAAATCAGGAGACTTGCTAAATAATTTACTATTCACAAAATAAAACACACACTCCCATTACAATATCAACTGGAATAGTATTTTTCTGTGTTTATATTTCTAATTTTTTGCCGTGTCACACAGAACAGAAAGTTTCCAAACTCCTGGAACCCACAGTCCAACATTTACCATCAACCACGTGACACCGCAGCCCACCATGCTCCTCATTTACTCTCAGTCACGTGACATCGCAGTCATGTGACTCTCACTTACTATCAGCCACGTGACACCACAGCCTACCATGGCCCTCTTTTACCATCAGCCACGTGACACTGCTGGGCAGCACAATTCCTACTGTACATCACTTTCCTTATCCATAAGTCATCGGCGAGTTCAACAGAACATGGCACAGGACTGCACTGATGATCAGACTGGAGCTTCCGGGACAGTCCTCGGCACACAGGGGGATCTATAGCTGCTAAGTCTAATCTAGGGAACCAAAATTGCAGTGCGCGAACCCAACAGGCTTTTCTGTTAGAAATGGTCAAGCCCCATTTCTCAGCCATGCACAGTTCCTCTGCCTTCTACCAGCACGCCTCGGCTGCTGGCCGCTACTGGAGGCACTCTTGTCTAGAAATGGGGTTCTTCAGGGTGCAGAGCAGCAGGGAGGGCACAATGTTGCTGTAGAGCTCAGCATGCTTCCTGGTTGCTCACTGTGGTGTAATTGGACTTTCCTTAGAGCCAGCTCACAAATAATGACAAGGATGCTTTCATAGCTCGGCCTTAGCTCAGGCTTGGCCCACTGGCTCTTAAAACTTAAACTAGCCCGTATATTAATCTATGTTCTACCATGCGCCTTTTACCTCTCTCCTGTTTTGTGTGCCCGACTTGTTCCACATCTCCATGGCATATCGATTAGCTCTTATTTCCTCTCTCTGACCAGACGTCCTGCCTACACCTCCTGCCTATCTATTGGCCGTTCAGCTCCTTATTAAACCAGTCACAGCAATTGTTACACAGTGTGCAAATATCCCACAACATTGTGGCATATGTTCTGCTGTTGCTGCTGCAATTGCTCTATTGTTTTATATAAAGCAGAAAGTTGAGGGAGAAGTTATCTGTTCACCTCCCTCTCAGCCTGGCACACTGCCACCTCAGAAGCTCACCCAGAAACCCCCAAATCTGGGTTTCAAGCCCTAACAGAGTACAATCCCCAGCATGTCACTCTTGAAGGCGAGTGTAGGTTATACATAGGAAAGAACTATTTGGTGACCAGAGCATGGGTTAGTGGGTTTGGGGGGCTTTTTTCCAAAACACTTATTTTTTTTGCTTTGATACTCGGACACACCCACCCATGCACACACACATATGCACACGCACACACATTCACACCCACCCACACCNTATGGGTGTTAACAGTCCCACAGAGACCCACAGAAGCCTAACTTAGCATCTGACTCGATTTGAGAAGTTTAGCCCCAACTCCACAAATCTTCAGAGGGGATATAATATAAGAAAGCAAAATGCTGAATTGCTATCCTACACAGCAGAACAGTCATGAGGTCTCACGGAGGACTCGCATCCATGTCTGCCTAGGAGCTGCTAGGGGCAGAGGCAGAATTGAGATGCGAAGCTCACCAGCTCTCCCCTTCAGCTCACTGCCATCCACACGGCGGTGATACCGCAGCCACCACTCCGTCTCCAGCTGCCTCTAATGCGGCTGTGTTAGCACCCACCACCAGAAGCATTTCTGATGTAATATTTTTATTTCGTTCCATGCCCACAAAAGCCGGAGTGGTTGGTGGCTGCCTCGCGTCATTGCTGTGTTGGTCTCAATGTCTCTACCTTCTGAGTCAGAAGAAACACTTAACTTCGCACTAAAGTTTAGAGAGCATCTAAGCTTCGGCAACCGACTTGTAATGGGTGAGGGTGCGGGCGGAAGGGTCGGTGGCATTGATCCACTTGGGCATCCAGTAATGGGTCAGCCAATCAGCCCGGCCTGGGTAGTGGCGCTCAAAGATCTGCCGGTAGTAGTAGCCTTCCTTGGTTTGGGGAGTATTGAAGGGAAACCTCTGGGCTGCCGCGGCCATCATTGCGTCATCGACCTGTAAGATAAGTTAGAAGCGTCACCCATTTGCTCTGCACTTGCTCTGCTACACACACACTAACGTTAAGGCATACCGTAAGTCAGCAAGACTCTCTAGGCCACGCAGTAGTTAGAAAAACGGTGAAACGAGCTCAAAAATAAACAGATGCAGTGAGTGCTTAAAAATTCTCATGCATATTTTGTATTTAGAGGCTCAATGCTTGATTTATTTGTACCCACAGTACCCAGACATATGCAAAAAGGGTCAGTGATAATTACTATGTCACCTCGACTTAGGATACTAGTTCATTTTCCTTAAGTCTTCTGTAATGTATACGCATTACCTTATACGAGGTGCTCTTGGTAGGAACTGTGAGTCTCCTATAGACACAACTATTCATACTAAATACAAAACAGAGATCCCAGATCTCTGTTAATCTATATTGTTCCAGAAAGTATCTTCAAAGACAGACCTGATGTTCAACATAGTCCTGTAAAATCTTGAACCAGGAGTTCTTGACTGAGGTGATCCCATCACTGAAGGCTTCTTTTGGTCTCCAGAGGATCTCTTTGGGCAGCAGGTTGGAGTCCTCAAACGTCTCTCTCAGGAGATGTTTTTCTATCCCATTCTGACATGAATACAAAAGCAAGCTCAGCGAAGTCACCAGCACAGCCAACGGCGTCTGGGGTTTTTATCCAGGGTTGATTTACTTACTTTTGGAATTCTCATTTCTGGTGGCAGAGACAAGTAATAAGAGGAAAACCGATGATCCAGAAACGGGACTCTCAACTCAAGACTGGGGGAAAACAGAAAACAAAGCTGGTCGGCAGAGGCCATGTGCATCCCAGCAGCTGCACCAGGCTGAGGAATGCAGATTACAGAGGCATGTTCCGGCCTCCTAACGGTCACTCTACACAACTGGATGCTTACTAAAGTCTGTACTCATAACACCAGCATCTAGTGGGGAAGCTTCCTGTTGGAAACTATCTCTTTCCTTCTGTGCCTACGAAAAATTAACTGTTTCTCTGAGAGCAGGAGATTTAAGAATCATGAGTGGCCTTGTCTTGAAGATACGCAAATGTCACATCACGTAGAGTCCTCGTGTCTCTGATCAGGATATGCAGATAGGTACTACCTATGATTCCCATCTATTCAACTACATGTGATTCGGTAGAAGAAGCTACATTATTGAACAGGTGTTTATCGTGTACAATATGATTCTATTCCTCAACAAACCCAGTTACATGTGAAAACTCTAGCCAAGAAGAAACGGCTCCAAAGAAATGTATTTTTAGTATATAGTCTTATCAAGCCTCATGCATCTTCATTCCCTGCCCCTCGAGGACAATCTAAAAGGCTCCGAAAGAGCAGCTGCAGCCTTCCCTCTAGGTCAAAGGCACATTACTTTTATGATTTAAAGACACACCCTCAGAAGACCCTCTCTCCCACCCCAATGTTAGTACCCAGGGCAGAGCCCAGCTCTTTAGGGACAAGTTTAACTAAAAATCGTACTTTTAAGCCAACTGGAAAGAAACAAAAAGTAAGCAAAAGCAACTGATCTCATTTTGAGTTTCTCCCCCTCTCCGTTCATTTTACAACTGGGTATAAGGTTACCCGTGCGCAGCAGTAGTGCGGTCAGCGCGGAGAACATCAAACAGGTAGAGCTCCTTCAGCAGCCTCTCACTTTCCTCCTCCGCCTTCTCGGGAGAAGGAGCCT